CCTCATGTCCATGTGTATGTCTATCCTATTTAATCATTTGGGAGCTAAACTTGCCTAGACGGCACCGCCGATCTTACCTGTAGAACCATCATACATAGCCATGCTGCATTTCCTGAATCCTAAAAGAAGTAAAGCATAGCCTGCACATTCGCGTCACCACCTGCTGAACGAGATTGTGTTGAGAAAACATAACCAGAGTAGTAAGTTTTGTTTGTGCCAGTCCGCCACCACACCTGATTATACCATGGTGGCAAATGCAGTGCGTACCTGTGAGGATGAGATTGTAAGTCTCAGAAGCCAGCGGCAGCCGACGAACGGCAAAACCGCGTTAGCTGCATGCATGTGTTATCCTGACTTTCACTCCGAGTAGTGGCTACCCAGGTAACTGTGGGTTTCGGCACAGGTCATTGCATATAAAGTGGTTCATGCATGCATCGCTGCGTTCGTTGGCGCAGTGCACACACTGCCATCTCGGGTCTCGAACTCGGTCCCCATGCTTCACATGCAAGCCCACAACCACTGAGCCAAAGCACTGGCCTCTGTATACCATCAGATACCTAAAACTTTCCACTAAACCATTGCCCAGTGATTCAAGATGGAATCCACATTTTTTTCATTCCGCGCAAATTAGGATTGGGTTTTGAGCCTGATCCGGCCTAGATCGGATTTGAAAGGGGCCAGAGATCCACTTTTTGGTAAATGGATTGTAGTGCCCATCATCCGGGTCTTTTTTACGAGTTGTCTGGTGATTGCTTTTATATGAAGCTTTGGGAAATACGGTTAATGTTTGATCTCAGTCGCCCAACCGTGCGTGCACTCTAAGCTGACCAACACACTCTTCTTCTATCTCTCACAAACTCTCTGAACGAAGCGAGGAATTCGATGCTGATCAGGGCCGTAGCATTGGGATTTCAGTTTTGTCCGGCCAGATTGGCTACTTGACCAGAGAATGGAAATTATCGATGAAAGCTTTTTTTCACGAGTTGGGTGGGTCAATTATTTCGGAATGGGTGCTACGACCCTGCTGGCAGTTCCTCCCAATAGCTGTTCCAACTATTGTAAAAGTCTCGAAAATGCTGCTCACAGTTTGAAAATGAATCTTTGAATGAATTATGACTAAACCCAACTGAACCTCTGCTCTCTGTCTTACGTATCTCTTAGCCTGTCAAACCCTATATATAGGGTTTTCAGCCGCGCGTTCTATCTTGAGCTCTCTTGAGAGCCTACTTGGCTGCTATGGCAACTAGACGCCTGGGCCTACATACGTAGAATGTACGTACGGTTCTCTTGCTGAAGACCGTGATCATTTTGTTGCTGTTTTCTTCGAGTACGGTTAGTTTTAGTGCAGCGCTGTCGTAACATTTTCTAGACCCTATATCTAGGGTTTGATTTTTCACGATGGAGGAAGAGCAACTTCAGTTAGTGGAGACGAACTCGGGCGATGAGAATGTTCCTGGCGACCTGGTGTCGACTCAGGATGATGATGTCGATGTTCCAGCAGCGTCGGATGCTCCTGAAGAAGAAGGCGAAGCATCAACAGCGGCTGTCGCAGCTGCCGCTCCCGCCATTGCCGTTTCTGCATCAGCTGATCCACACGTGGGTCGGAAGCAGCAAATGCGGCGACACTCGCGCACGTCGTAGGAGCGCTCCTGCTAACATCAATGGCAATGCAGTGAAAATATCAAAAAAAAACAAGTGAAACTGTGTGTATTGTGTGCCCAGTTGTGAGGACTGATCAAACCCTTTCTTTAGGGGTCCTAACCCTATATATAGGGTCTTTATGTGTAGCGTTATGTCAAACCCTATATATAGGGTTTCCTGGTGACAGGCTAAGAGATATGATCAGTACTTCAAGTAAGACAACTTGTAAAATTAATAAGGATTCCCCGAAGGCTAAATGACAGTAGTAAATGCCTATCTAAATGGGGGGGGGGGGGGGGGGTCTCCAGGTATCAACATGATGTAAGGTCAACCTGGTAAATAACAACAACTCGCGATTGACGACACTATCTTCAGACCGAGTAACCATTTTGACTGCATACGTACGTTCGACCTCCCGAATAGTGACAACTCGCGGACAACAGCGCTTTTTCCGTGCCCGACTGCGTGTGCCGTTTGCAAAAAATCACGGTTTGCGTTAGACTCGGCTGGAGGCCGAGTCTAACGCATCCGTAGGAACGCCACCATCCTGTATCCATAGGAACGCCACCACCCTGTATCCATAGGAACGCCACCACCCTGTATCCATAGGAACGCCACCACCCTGTATCCATAGGAACGCCACCACCCTGTATGGCTGGTTTGCGAGGTTGACTGTAAATACCGTAAAGTCTTGTATAAAAGCCGCGGCTTCTATGACTTTCTCGGTGAAATTTTGCAGGCTTCTATATGAGACAGGCCTCTACACAAGACAGGTATTTCTATGTATGTCAACACTAAAACTAGGCTTTTGTGTGATTTGATGGGCCCAAAATTGCGGCTTCTATTTGAGGGCGGCTTCTATTCAAGTGCGGCTTTTATACAAGACTTTACGGTAGTCCCAACCCCCACCCTTGAAAGCAGTCCCTGGTGTGTTTGGATGACCACATGGTACAGTCCCCGCATGCTTGTTAGATCTTTTAAAACAGTCTGTTGTTTTTCTGTCTCTCTCTCTCTCTTCCTGGTGTCCTCAGCTAGTGCTCCACGGGCTACCGGTTTTATTGAGCCGTTCAGTTGCCACGTGCACAGGGCGTTCGTTGTCACAACCATCACGTCTTTCTGATTTTCTACTCTAACAAATTTTGCTGTGTGGTCCCTTTGCATATTTTCATCATGGTGCAGTTCTTGAAGTGAGTAACCAAGTTCCTATTTGAGACACAAACTATGATGTATAGCGGATACTATTCATCTTTCCATCGGTCCATTGGGACTGATGCATGGAGCGCTGCTCCTTTTCACTTCTTGCTTTGTTTGTCGTGCGCACCCATGCTGCAAGTGTTCCTATTTTTCTCCAGCTCAAGAGAGTCTCCAGTGTGTCTCCTCCGGTGTGATT